TCAGGCCTTACGCCAACGAGCGACTACTACAATTTTTACTCTCGACACGATATGTCACCCATTTCGACATGGCCCCCACATCGACTCGAGAGTGGGGGGCTTAATGATATGCCTAATTGGGCCAACCCAATGGACTTACAATTTATTTACCTATTGGGCCACGAGCCCAATATTGAAAACCAATATCACCGAGGCCCAATCACCTTCAAATAAGGTTTGGGCCCAACGATCTCATCTAAGGTATAAATAACGATATAATTCATTTATTAAATGTACGCCCTATTATCCAAATAATACTAGGGGTCATATTCTCCCAACTATTTCTAGGATCCGCACGTCTGACTTGAGCGTCGGAGGGGTTTCCGCCGGATCAACCCCCGGCCTAGTTCACGTGTTCTTTGTTCGCAGGTATCTCAGGGCCATCTAGCACGTGAGCAGTGACCCACTTGGCTTTCCCTGCAGCTCCCTCAATCTCAACTATCAAAGGTGATCTATTTTTAGCATCATCAAAGGTATAATAAATCTACCCTAAGTTAATATAAAACAAACTATTATATGGTAAATGAAAACAAAAAAAAGTATATTGCACTAAGAAAAATCTACCCTAAGTTAATATAAAACAAACTATTATATGGTAAATGAAAACAAAAAAAAGTATATTGCACTAAGAATTTTCTTTGGTAAATAAGATAATGTGACTGAATGCTATATCTTAGACACGGCCCCGGGTCGGGTCGGGTCCGAGTTTTGGAGGACCCGAAACCGACCCGCGGGGAGGCGGGTCCGGGTCCGGGGCGGGTCCACTCGGGTCCACTCGGCTCCGGGTCGGTTCCGGGTCGGTCCGGGTCCGAACCGGATTTTGAAACTTTTTCCAAAATATGCTTGGAATGGGGTTCGAACTCTGGTTCCCTTCACATGAAAATGCCAATCCAAACCAGTGGGACAAGGCAATTGTTTATGAAATTACTTGCAAAAAATATATATAACAATAACACATAGTAAAATAATGTTTAATGGATTATTAATTATCATATTCATAATTATTAAAAAAAATTAATTAAATTATTCACAAATATAATATTAAAAAAATTAAAATAAATTGAAAGAACTTGAGCTTAAACCATTTAAATCTTACGATTCAATTCTAATATTTGAATAAAATGTATATGTAAAAAAAAAGGATTAAATCATATGATCTACAATTTAATTCTTACGATTTTTACAAATTAAACCAATCATTAAAAGAGAAATTACATCATAATATTTTGAATATAGTAGTCATATATAATATTATTTTTAAAGTAAGAAAATTAATTGAATTGAGATATAATCTATTTTTGTTAAAATAAACATCATTTATATTTTTAAATAATTATCTTATGTTAAAATACTCATATTATTTAATTTTTCATTCGATTTTTTCACACTATCGATTTTAATAACAAAAGTGAGTTTATATTAAGTATACGCATTTGATTAAATATTGAATTGATTCAATCCTATATATTTTTCAATAGTGGAGATTATATGAATCAACGCATTTGTTTATATATTGAATTGATTCAATATTTTATATATTTCAATAGTGGAGATTATATTGATATAATAATTACTAATAAATGTTTTCAAGTATTGAATCGTAATTCTATATATTTTTTTTAAAGTTTCTTATATTGCAT